ACCAGACACACATCTCAGCTACACAAGTGCCCTCGCTCGAACCTAGGAAGCCACTGATGCAAAGAGCGGAGGACAGCAAAAGGGTTATTTCAAGCCCAGCCGAAGCCAGGATATCGTGGTATGCTGCATCTCCCAATTTGATAATCGTACACTCCCAAGATCCAACAGTCATCGTGTCAACACAGCTAGATGACTCACACAAAACAGCAACACATACACGGCCATAGCTCCACACATGCCCTCGCCCGAACCTAGGAAGCCACTGATGCAAAGAGTGGAGGACAGCAAAAGGGTTATTTCAAGCCCAGCCGAAGCCAGGATATCGTGGGTGTGTGCGTGTGTGTGAGAGAGAAACGCAAGAAAAGCGTGCGAATACGGGAGGGAGAGGAATAGTCTAGATGAACCACACTTACTTTCGCGAAACGCACACGGGGCGAAAAGGGGAGACCATCCGCCTCCTCTCCTCCTGCTGTTGTACGTGGAACTTGACGCAGGGAATTATTAGAGGACAGAGTTTATCACTGCTGCCGTCGAGCCTGTGCATACACCAGTGCCTACAGACAGCAGGTTCGGCTTTGTTAGCGGAGACGCACCTACCTTCAGCAGCAGCAGCGCAGCTTGGGCTTTTTCGATGCGTCAGCTCGATCTTCTCTCTCCCTGACTTGTCTCTCCGTCTCAACGTTCTGAAGACTGCGGAAGACGCAGCGTGGGTGGGTGGAGTGTGGGAGTGTGGGTGTGTGCGTGTGTGTGAGAGAGAAACGTAAGAAAAGCGTGCGAATACGGGAGGGAGAGGAAGAGATGAACTACACATACTTTCGCGAAACATATATCATCAAATAGAAGACTAGATATTTGTCGGTGTGAGCACAGAATTTTCCTGGGCTGTCAGCGCCGCAAGAACGCTTGGTGATGCGGTCCCTGGTTGATCGACTGCCATTTAACAAATACTTAGTTAACCCGATTCGGTATTTCAAATCCGTTTCTAGACTATTCCAAAAAAAAATGTACATGTACAAACTTCGACGTTAGCACCGTTGACGAGGGAAAGGGACGGCTCGACCCTTGTCGCGATACACATAGAATTCAGCACGCACCGCAGGAGGAGGGTGGGGCATGAAAATAAAGGGAGAAGCCCTGGTGTTTACCTCCCTCCTGTGTGACCCTGGATGGTTGCAGTTGTACGAAAAAATAAACTGAAAAGTGTAGTAGTGGCATAGAGCCAGCGTAAGCAGCTGGAGCTGCTCTGCATAGTCTATGTATATTTGTTTCTCCTAATAGTCTAGCACACGTCTTAAAAAACACACAGGTTCCAAGTTTTTGAAAGACAAATGTTGAAAATTTTGACAAAAAAGTCGGTCCGTTTAAAACGGCCTATACCACGAAAAAACATGGGGGGATTGTCGCCAAAATAAATAGGACGAAACAATACACTGCTGCTGCATGTTAGATGTACTCGGGGTAATAAAACTTCCGATGCAGAGAAGCAGAGATAGAACCAGAACACCCCAAGGTCGTTGTAGAGGTACCTCTCTTCTTCTAGTCTAGATACCCCGGGCAATTTTTCCAGATTTTTACAGCAACGCAAGAGATACCTGCTCTGTTTGCATCCGTTCCACTACTACTACAGTAGAGGTACCTGTTTGGTGCTGGTAGAGTAGTGCCGGTTGCCGTTATAGTGCCGGTGAAATTTCGGCGCACACCCCGGCACTAAATAGGGACCTCTACTGTACTGTTTGTTGCATGAACAACCTACCTGGTAGTTGTCGAAAGGAGACGGTCACACAGAAAGATAAAGATCCAAGTCGTCCTATCACGGTTGGTTGAAAAATAATATTTGGGCGGGGGATGGACATGCATACTGCTGGGTGATGATTGCTGCTGCTGAGAATGAGAACGGAAAAAACGATGTGGCCGCCAACGGCCTAGATACCCCTCACCTGCCGGGGTAATTACTTGCATTGTTCTTGTGAACCCACCGGTGTAAGTGTGAAGACAGCAATAACAACAAGTGGGGGTTGTTGGTGTTGTCTTTTTCACGGGCAGGTTTAGTACAGTACAGTATTTTTATTCCAGTATTTAACTGCGTACTAAAACGTCCAGTACAGTACAGTACCGAGAGCCGTGCTGCCAGTACAGTATATTCCAGTATCGAGAGCTGTACTGGAGAGTGCAGTATTTTTATTCCAGTATCGAAAGCTGTACTAAAGCGTGCAGTATTTTTATTCCAGTATCGAAAGCTGTACTAAAGCGTGCAGTACAGTATATTATGGCCAAAGGTACTGCAATACTGAAAATACTGGCAGTATTGTACTGTACTAAACCTGCCCGTGTTGTCTTCACATTAAACTCACAGGTGGCCAGTGGGCACGGTTGTGCGGGGACGTTGTGTGACCTCCGGCCAACGAGGGGCCAGCAATGCCGCACAGACTTTTGCGCGCCCGAATATGCGTGCGACAGCTTTAACTTGACCACTTCGGTGGAAAGCGGATTTCTGTTCGATACGGTGTCAGGGGTGCCAGGGAAGACGGGGCCGTTTGGTTTGATTTCGGGTGGATGATGTTGGGGGTTTGTTCGTTTTTCTCCATCTAAGGTTCGTTCCTAGAATTCAGCTGTTGTAGTATTTCAACCAAAATTTTGTTTGCCTTAGAGCAAACATTGCTAGCTATTATTGGGCATCAAGTTAATTTGGCTTGGCATGACGGCCTTTACGATCGACTTTTGATGCATGTCTGCATTTATCTGCAATTGTCGGAGGGCAAACAAAAGTAATAATATAGGGGTTATTACATGGGATAACGTAGGGGCGTTACAGGCCGAGCGGGCATAACGTGCCGGGTTGTGGAAGCGGTTATGCGCGGATTGATGTGAAGCAGGAGAAAAGAAAAAAAATGTGTGAGCTTTTCCTCCCTTCCATTGCATTCCACTCATTTACGGTTGAGTTTATCAAGCGATACATCGGCAGACAGACATCTATCTTTCCTCTCTTCCGAGATGATTAGAGCAGGAAGAACCTACATCGCGGAGGGGCTCGAACCAGCAACTTACATCTTCGCAGTCTAGCTTTTTACCGCTACGCTAGATGTTGAAGTATATCACGTGTTGTGAGCAACTTCCATGAATTGAATCTATAGTGATGGGGGGGGAGGGGGGGGTACTCATAGTCGTGCATGCCGTAGTCGTTAGAACATTGACCTCGCATCCTTACGAAGCCGGGACGGAGCACGCCGGGCTCTCACCGGACCAGGCCCTCACATCACCAAGCGCGAAGCGCCGTGAGATATTCGGCGAGTCGCATGAAGGATGCGCTGCATCCTGCTAAGTAAGGGTGTTCGGCATGTTGTGCTTGGTGTGCTTACTTCCGTGCATACGAATGACAGCTGCGTATGACTTAATATATATATTTTTGGTGCTTTCACTTCCGACAGTTGAAAGCACTGCACAGGTGGCCAATGGGCACGGTTGTACAGGGGCGTTGTGTAACCTCCGGCCAACGAGGGGTTATTACATGGGATGACGTGGGGGGGTTACAGGCCGAGCGCGCATAACGTGCCGGGTTATATAACGCTGGCGGCACAACCGCGGTCGGTTAGGGGTTATTACATGGGATAACATGGGGGGGTTACAGGCCGAGCGGGCATAACGTGCCGGGTTATATAACGCTGGCGGCACAACCGCGGTCGGTTAGGCAGCACCTTGGGCAAACCGTTAGCGTTATGACTTGTTGGCGGCTTAAACTTCGCACGTTATTGCCAACCGCTATGGTCGGGTTGCGGATTGCCGGATTAGCGGGGGACGAGCCTAACAAGAGCAATGGATTGGTTTAATTAATATCGTATGTAATTGATTGCCGGATCTGTCGAGAAACGTACGACCTCTACTCCGCCATAGGGTAACGTCTTCATAACGGTTACACACCAAAATCGGGGTGGTCAGACGAGCCCAAGCAATCTTCCAATTTTACCTCTCCCAGAACCTCAAATCAACCTTCGGGTTCACCCCCTACAGTATTTACCTATCGCTGCGACTCCACGGGCGGGTCTTCCCCAGCAACAAGTCTCCTTGCATTGGGCCAAAATTCCAAGCTACAAACCTCCAGTTACTGCCTCCCTTCCACCAACAATATACTTTTATACCCCCGTGCACACGCCTCGTGCAAGGGCTCTACCCAGTGAGTCGGGTCGTAAGCACTAGCGGTACTTCCGCAGACATCCACTACGGCTAGCCATCCCGAAGGACATCCCTTGCTTTCAACCTTGAAGTCACCGTTCCCTTGACGACCACTTCTTCCCATCGCCACGCCCGACAACAAGACTTAACGCAACCCCGCCCAAACTCATCCTCCAAGAAAAATACTTGGCGTCCACAGCCTAGGTTGGTGCCACACAAGTACATCCTCAATGAATCGGAGCGACAGAGACGCGCGCTACCTCTCCACTACTCGGGACGGAAGGACCCACCACCAACGAGAGCCTTGCTGCTCTAGAAGAAGCGTAGCGCCGTTGGTTAGCGGCGGTTTCACACCATGACCACCACACCCACTTACAAAGCCATCCCGGGGCTGCCACCGCGCTCCTGAATCGCTCAGAAGAATGAAAAGAAAAAACAAACAACAGCGTAAGGGTCGTGAAAACGGGGTAAAACATCACTGGAATCCGGTCTGTCGTAGGCCCGGGGAGCGAATTACTTTTCTTGTTAATCCAAACTGAGCCGGAGCTACACCGAAAAGGAGCGGGGGGCGGGGGAGGGCGGGTACTCATAGTCGTGTATGCCGTAGCTAGACCTTTGACCTTGCCGAGGGGGGCGGGCGGGAGCTTGTTTTTTTTTTCGTCGACCTACCTACTTTGGGGGTAATATCCCCACGGCGAAGAACAAAAATACACGCACACTCACACCTACCACAGGCATACCCATGAAGATGTAGCAGGACCAAAGGGACCGAGTGGAGGAGGCAGAGGAACAAAGTACCATGTGAAGTGGGGTTAAATCTCTGTTTTAGGCTTGGGGGGATGTTTTTTTGTTGTAGAAGCACAACGCCCCGAGGCCGAATGCAACGGTTACAAGAGGGGGATTGGGTCCAAAACATGCGCTCCCGGGGCTGTAGCAGAGACATCATGCTTCCAGGCCGACAAAAGGATGGGGAGTCTACGACCGTATGGGGAGCGTCGATGTTCATGACGGACGCTACAGTTGGATTGACATGTCTGCGTTCGGCTGCTGATGTCGGCTGGCGAATGAAAGAGCGGACTACCGTGGTCGTCTACATATCGATGGAGGCGTGTTACACAACTGCGTTGGAATGCGTCTAACACGCTCGACCTCCCAGGAGCGCAAGCTTACGCGGCGTACCTAGGATTCTCAGGGCTGTTAGTTGTCGGCGCAAAAGTCGGAGGCCCAATCCATGACGTCGCCGAATGAGGCAGGGTCACGGTCAGTGTCGCTGCCGCCGGCCTCCCACTCGTCGTTGGCGGCGCCGGCGAGAGGCCTTGCAGGATCGGCATCAAGAAAGGGCCTGAAGAAGTCCTCCGCGTCCATGTACGTGTTGAAGGCGGATGAAGAGGGGATCTGGCCCAAAGCCGTGGTGGCGAAGTTACGGAGGCGCTGACAGCATCTGGCGATATGGTTATTCATGGCAGCAGGGACGGCGGCGAGGGTTAGTACGGTACCGCTAGGGTGCCTTGCAAGCGTCTCGTCGACCTCCCAACATTAACATTGCACCGACTCCCAGCGTGCCGTCCTTAGAAGATGAACATACAAAAGGAGAATGTTAAAAAAATAGCTAGC